GTAAATAAAAATATTTTGCTCCTTTTCAAGCATCTATTTGAAAAGCTATTTTATAATTATTTTTGTTATTTTATTTTAATAATCCATAACTCTAGCTCTATGTTTTTTATTATTTTATTAGTTTTGACATATTTGTTAAGTAGTTAACCATGATGTGCCTATTCTATTTATGTATTCTCGGCTATATTTTCTATTTGGGCTCTTTTTTCTGATATTATATGATAAAATTCATAATCTGTGCTCCACTGTGCTCATTTGGAACTGAATTCCAGAAGAACATGCAGAGAACTTCAGTTCCAAAATAGCTAATGCACAAATGAAAATAAAATCTTAGTTTCTCAATGAAAATAAACAATTTTCAGGTTCAATCCTTGTATTTCAATTAATCAGCCTAATGAAGAACATGTTCATCACTGCCAGCCAGACATGCCAGCCAGATACATTAAATAACATTACAGTATACATCTGAAGTACTAAATATTTTTTAAACAATAATTACTATTGACTAAAAACTGGTCAAATTCTGAATAACTGAAATTATTCTGTTTTAATGATAATGTTTATTTAGCAACGTCCTTCTGTGATAATGTTTGTAAATAAAAAGAAATAAATGTTTCCGAGTACTTTCCTGTATCAATGAGCAAAATTCCAAAGATATTAAGCTTTGTGTGGAATACTAAAAATGTGTCAAACACTAACTTACTATAAAATACATTAATAAGATATAGTAAGAAAAAATAACATGCAATACCTAATTTTCCATTTTTGCATAACCAAACATCCTCTCTTGCATTTTCTAGTTAATCAGTTTATTAATCCTTGAAATAGGATTAATTTAATACAAAATTACATTTGAACTAATCATAGATCCATATAAAACAGTCTTCATGAGAGATTATGTAAAACCCTGTCCAATTCCCCTTTGAAAGGCAACAGAGATGGTTTTTCATCACATTTCCTACAATTTCCTTATGGGGGAAACAAGCTGGTACTTCTAGTGCGTTTCAGCAGAGGGCAGTGCTTACCTCGGGGGCTCACAAAAATCTTTCTGAATCATATTTTTTCTCTTTCACTAAGAACAGGGAGACAAAAGTACCCAGACTCACACCACAAAATGCCAAGAAGTCTGTTAAGCCCTGTGATTATCAGGTAGCCATGAAGATGCTCAGAGGGCTGGAGCACCTCTCCATGATGACAGGCTCTGGGACTTGGGGTTCTTCAGTCTGGAGAGGAGCAAACCCATAGGAGACCTTCCAGACACTCAAGGGGGCTACAAGAGTGTTGAAGAGGGTCTTTTTACAAGAGAATGTAGTGATAGTGACAAAGGAGAACAGTTTTAAACTCAAGAAGAGGAGGTTTGGATTAGATATTAGGAAGAAATTCTTTACTGTGAAGGTGGTGAGGTACTGGAGAAGGTTGCCAGAGGAACTGAGGATGTCCCATCCCTGAAGTGTTCAAGGCCAGGCTGGATGGGACTTTGAGCAACCTGGTGTAATGGAAAGTGTCCCTGCCCACAGCAACAGATCATCTGTTGGAAGCAAATGGTCTTCCAGATCCTTTCCAAATAAGCCATTTTGTGCCTATGAATCTAAAAAATCCTGTTGAATCAGAAAACTGCCACCTCATGTTTCATTTCCTTTCACAGTTTATTGTGAATATCTTGAAAATTGAAGTCCCAGCCAAAGAACACCAAGTGGTACACTTCTGTGAACTTCAACCAAAATACTCCTTTATCTTTGCTTACCTCTTTCTCTCCACTCAGGAGATCTGATTGCTCCTTTCATGTTATGCACATTGACAACCTGATTAGCCACCAGGGAAGGAAAATTAAATTGCCTCTCTGATACACAATGCAGAAACTATATTAATCTCTGAATTAACATTTTCTGCATTCTTCACACCAGTAGATTATTTCTAAAAATAAACTAAAGTTTCAAGGAAAAGAAATTATTTTCAATTTTCCACACTATTGTATTACCTACTACAAAAGCAGAATTTTTCTTGGCACTGATTCTGAATTATTTATTCTATCCATACCCTTAGCCAGAACTAATGTGTGATAGTAGCAGCTTGAATAATTATGGAGAAAAACAAATTCTAGTATCAGAAGCGAAAAACAAGAGAGCCAGTTTGTTGTTGAATTGTTGCTGACAGAGTAGCTAATTGTTTGGTTTGCCCAGAAGTAATCACCTTTTCACACTGCCGAAGTTTAAGGGTCAAGAAACAAAACTACCTATTTGGTACAATCAAGACCAGCTAAACTACATAAACATCTCAGGAGGGAAGATGGTAGGTAGGAGACAGAACAAACTGGCCTCCTTTCCTAAAGTTCTCAGATTTTGTAGCATTCTCTCCCATGTATTAACCCCAAGGGGTTTTAGGTCTTTAACACCTGTGAGCCATACTGATGTACAATTACACTTGAGCTTCAGTTTTGTGAAATAAAGGTTTTCTGAATGTGTGCTGAGTGCACCTCCACACATCCTGCAAGGGTGAACCAGCAGACATTCTAAAATGGCAGAAAGTAAAAGCAGAGAAAAAGTCTGAACAGCAAGGAATGCCATTGTGAAACAAAAAAAAATAAAAACAAAGAAAATTTTTGAAAACATTTGTTAGTTACAATTTAAAAAATAAAATAATCAAACCACAACAAGAGAAAAAAAAGAGAAAAAACCCCCATCAGTTTAATACTGAAAAAAGTAAGAAACATATTTGCTTCTGCCCCTTAATGGCTTATCACTAAGGTTGGACTAGCAGAGTAACCCAGAATCTCTACCTTTGCCAGCAGCATCACTTTCAGCAGTCTGTGTTGGGTTGACTCCCATTCCCCCTCATTAGCAGGATGGGAGAGGATAGGAGCCACAAAGAAAGAAAACCTTCATGATAATGACAGTTTCCTGACAAAGACAATTTAGTAACTTAAATAATGCCAAAGATAAAAACCAAAACAAATGATGCAAAGGAAATCAGTCACAATCTCCTGCTGCCCATCCAGTCTCTGAGCAATGGCTGCTTCCTGCAGAAAACATTCCCCACAATTTTTACTGCTGAGCATGATGTTATATGGTATGGAATATTTCTTGATCAGTTCAGATAGGCTTCCCTGGTTGTATCCCCTTAAAACTTCTGAGCCACACTCAGCCTACTCATAGAGGGGGAAAACTGAGGAAAATAAAGCTTTGATGGCCTACAGGCACTGCTCAGCAATAACAGGCACACTGGCATGGTACTAATATTGTTTTAGCCATGAACAAAACTACACCACCATACTGGCTGCTACAAAGAAAACTAATGTAGCCTCAGCCTAGACCCAGTACACAGTCCTTTGGATCACACAGTACAACTCATAATCTTGAGTTAGTTGTTTGCAAAAGAGGCCTCCTGCACCCAGAATGCAAGCAGCAAGAAATGCCTTCAAACTGCATTGCAGGAGGGTGTTTCAGGAATCCCACCTTGAAGCTGAATATGTAAGAGACCGTGGTGCCAGATGCATATAGAGCAAACCAAAAGAATAACTCAATAACCTTTGACAGACTTCCATTGCATTATGTTAACACTGTATTATGTTTACAAGGCTGTGTAAACTTGAATCCAGAGTGGATTTAGAATGCCCAAGCCTCATTGATGGGTGTGCTTTGAACAGAAGGGCTGGAGCACCTCTCATTTAATCTGAGTGACATTTAGGGCACTTACATAGTGACAACAGGGCAGCCTTTACAGAGAGAGAAGATTTTCTAAAATTTAGATGAGTTCTTCATCCTTAACCTCCTGCTTTCTGGACAAATACCCATAATCATTATATTACTATATTACTAGCTAAATATATTGTAACAAGCTTAATATGTTGTGTACCTTCTTCAGAGGTGTTTCTGGTGCCCAAACCTTCTTTGTTAAAGCATTTTCTTCAAACTGCAAACCCATCATATTCAAGTAAAAACTACTTTATCTCAACCATTATTTCATAAAAATAGAAAGACATTATTTTGAAAGAAGAAATAATAAATCTTCCATTCTCTCAGGAGCTTTGTCAACAGTCCACCTCAGCTCATAGAACCAGTTATTTTCTGTATTGCCTGACACATTCTTCTATCCCCATTCTGACCATAGTAACAGACTGTGGTAGTAGCACTTATGCTTAATGTTTCCACTGAATTCCCACGTACAGAAAAAAGAGCAGTGCTATGCATTTCTCTCTCATTCCTCATCTCTGTTGTGTTACACTGACAGTTCTGGAGCACTTCTTGGTTTTTATAAACAATCCTTAAGGGAAGTAACTTACCATTTTGTGAAGAGTAGTTTTTTTGGAAGTTTAATTTTTTTTCTGTGCAATAACAACACAAGCAGCAGGAGGGCAGTTCACCAATACACAATAGATCTATTACTGACACTGTCTGCAAGAGAGTCAGCTTGATGGTATTAATCAACACCAAGAAAAGGACTGCAAGGTCATGCAGCTGCACTTTATCTTGACCTAGACAGATCACCTTCAAGTAATAAAAGCAAGTTTAGTTTCCTTGTAATTTCCCATGTAATTGCCCATGTAATTTCTGACCTGCTGATAAGACATGGCCAAAGCCCATGTCATTTATGGTTGCTACAGATGTTATTCTGAGATACTGCCAATAAACAGGCAACAGAGGTAACAATTTTTATCTACATGGCCTTGCACTGCAGACCAGAAAAGCATTGCACATCAAGTGATTGTGAACTGGCTTTGTCCTCATGCAGTCAGTCTGATAAATGTAGGAAATCCATAAAACCTGACCACTACTCAAGAAATTATTTTGTTTCAGATTAGACCAAACATTGAGGTAAATTTGATTTCAAAATGGAATTAAATAACTGGAAAAGTTTTATTAATCAAATATATGATAAACCTGAGAATAGCACTGTCTTTATAGTAAAAAAGAGTAAATTCACTTCAAACAAGACCAGAGACAGAACAGTTTGGACATAAGATATTCTGTACACCAATAAAAAATCAAAGTGGAATGACTTACCACTTCTTCATGGGTAGCACTTTCTACATTTATACCATTAACCTAAAAACAGAAACGATAGGGAGAAAATGATTTGTAATGCAAAGTTAGTTACTGAAATAAAAGCAAGTATGAAACAAATGTCTGTGGAAAAAAGCGAATGTTTACTGACCTGTATTATTGCATCTCCTATAAATAACATTCCTGTCTGTTCAGCTGTGGGATTACAGAAGGAGTAGATTTTAATTGATAGTAGTACTGAAAAAATTTGCTATATTCTTTTCCAGTAATTGCTTTAACACACTCTTTGTAATCCTCATTTGAATCTGATTTGGTTGTGAAAATATCAATGGCACACCAATCAGTATTCATCCAAAAAAGGTAATAGATCCCTAGCAATTTTAAACAAATTAAGAGAGCTACTTTCCAAGCATAAAGAACTTGTTTAGTATAGAATACAAATGTCAATTCTCACTAATGAAGGATTTAAATAAATTATGTGGAAAATGTGATTCACACTTTTCATTATTCTTCCACAAAAGGGAAACAGGGACTGCTGTAATTAAAGAGGTTGTGACTAGAATTTAATACATTTCTTTAACATGAAGTTTGAGTTAGCTTTGTCCTTAAGAATAACATTATTTTGATCTCCAATTTGCATGTTTCCTGCCTTAAGAAGTTAATGGGGATAATGGCATAAAACTTCACTTAAGTCTCCATAGGTACAAAGAGAGAGATTTTTGAGGTCTATTTGCTAACTTCAAATTTTTACCTTTTTTTTGGTTGGAATTTGGGGATGTTTATCTCATGAAATGCATAAATTAATTAAAATTAAGACTCTTATACTTAAAAGACTGATAGTATTAAAGAAGGCCTATTAGTCTTATATATGACCTTTAAGGTCACAGCTGAGGCTTAGAAGAATGCCATCAATGCTAACAAAGACTGTATTATGAGAAACGAAAATAGAAGTAAAAAAGAAAGAAAAGACATAACAGAATCATAACAGAATATTCTTGATTTCTGCAATTTAGCTGTTGCTACTGCAAATGTGCCTTTATTGCAAAATAGCACTTTTTAAAACAGAAATTGTTCATCATTCTTTTGGCAGATAAAATTATAGTTCATTAGTAAATACTTGGGAAATATTTCTCTATGTATTTTAAAAATCATGTTACAAGTTGCATTGGAGGTCTTTATCTCACTTCTCATCCTACTTTATATTTAAAATCATGCATATAATTTTTAATAGCTGGCATAGAAAAGACATCTACATACAGAAATTTAGCGGAATTAAAGCAGTTCAAATCTGTCACAAAGCAATCTGAAGTAATACATTGGTAGAGGTAATGAACATTGGTGTGGGCATCTCACTACTCAACTTCTATTTGAGGTGCTAATAATACATACACTAATAGTGAAAAATGTGAACAATTTTTAATTCAGTGCTTATGTTAGGGCCATTGGGCTGTTTTAAAAAAGTGGAAGCATCTTTGAAATCCAGAGAGAAGGAAGAGGGTGAGTTTGAAATTCCAGTTGAGGTAAAGGAGAAAAGGATGAATTCAAAGGATGCATGCCTTGTCTACAGTGTCTGACTCAGAAGTGAGTGGAGAAATTTTAAGCATTATTTGTATCAGCAAGCTGCCATGGTTTAACCTCAGCTGGCAACTATTTACCATGCAGCCACTTGCTCAACCATCCTTTCCAACCCCATTCCTCTACCCCATGCCAGCCCCCAGGGATGGGGAGAAGACTTGGAAAAAAACCATAAAACCAAAAAACTCATGTGTTGAGACAAAAACAGTTTAATTATTGAAGTATAATATAATAACAGTAATGGAAAGGAGACGGTGCAATAAAACCCAAGAGAAACAAATGAGGAACAATACAATCCTCATTCAGTTTAATTATTGAAATATAATAACAGTAATGGAGACAGTGCAATGAAACCCAAGAGAAACAAATGAGGAACAATACAATCCTCATTCCCTGCTGACTGATGCCCAGCCCATCCTTAAGCAGCAACTGGCACCTCCCAGCCAATTCACCACCATTTATATTCCAAGGATGATGTTTTATGGGATGGAATATTTCTTTGCCATGGAATATATTTTTGCCCAGTTTGGGTCACCTCTCCTGGCCATGCTTGCTCCCAACTTCTTGTGCACCTGTTTGCAGTCAGAGCATGGGTCAGTGAAAAGTTTTTGATTTAGGGAAAGCACTATTACCTAGAACTAAAATATCAGTGTGTTATCAACATAATTCCTGTACTCAATCAAAAACATCGCACTGTACCAGCTACTAAGAAGAAAATTAATCCTATCCCAGCTGAAAACTAGGATACAAAAGGCATGTGTGAAGAGGCAGAACAGAAAGAGGTCATAAATCAAAGCAGTTGATGATGAGGCTCCTTATATCCATATTGTGAATTTCAGGGATTTTAAATGAGATCAGATAGGTCCTCCAGTATAAGTGCTCTCAAGTGATGAGAAGCTGAGCAAGGAAAATTAGTACAAAAGACTTTTTGTTTTGTGGACCCCTAAGCAGACTATCCTAGGGCACACCAGTGCCATACACTGTGATGTATTCCTGCTGCCAGTAACAGCAGCAAGAGCCCCAGTAGGGGGAAGCAGACCTTGCTTACAAGTACTGCAATAGTCCCTGAAACTGGAATCAGTGTAGAACCCAGAGCAACCAAACAAGGTGAAACACAAGGACAGTGCATCCTCAGCCTCCTTCAGGAGGAAAATCCTAGGAAGCCAATCCTCAGGTATTACTCTGTCTGTGTGGGGGTCACAGTTGATTCATGTTCCAAGCCCCTGCAGCGTGGCAGATGTGTTTGTTTGCTCTCCAGCAAGTAGCAGTCGACTGATCTGCCAGCCACAGAGGGGATGAGGACAGCACATGTGGGCAGCAGCAGCACTGCTTTCCTGGGCCCTGTGCTGCTGGTTCTACTGGGCAGTCAAAGGAGCTTTTGCTTTTGGGGAGATCAGCTGGAAACACAATATAGGAAAAAGCACAGTAAATAAACAGTGGAAATGTAAGAAATGAATTTGGAAAAAATTTCTGTGAAAAGTGGCAAGAGAAAAATATAGGGCAAGAAAGCAAATCATACTGATCCAGAAAATGTTTGTGTGAAATCTAAGATCCTGATGGAAGAGTGCATGATGAAGATTTGTGGGCAGGTAGGTAGGTATTACCATTTTCCTGGATGTTCAGCTATCTGTGATCCACTGCATAATGACACAACAGCAGAGTTGTGCAACATTTTCTAAGTCTTCTGAGAAAACTGCTGCATTGTTACAAAAGTTATAAGAAAATACATAGACTAGTATTCATGCAAAAAAGGAAAGACTAAATTCTAGACACGGCTAAAATTCTTGAAATAAGACTATTTAGCAACTCAAGGCTTTAAAAGGAAAAGCAGTGATATGAAAAAGTATAAAACCTCAAGGAAGAAAGATGGGTAAATGGAAGATTGTAACTTGGCAGCACAGAAGACAATTCCCTTGTCTTCTATGAAGCAGTGGAGGCTGAACCTTTCCCCCAGGACTGCTGACTGCCATTGCTCATTCCACAGGGATGATGAATACTGCAATATCCCCAGCCACCTCATGTGTGTTAGCCAATACATTTTATAGTTTAAGAACACAAAGCAATTATGTCCTACTTGCAGAATCTTGAAAAACAATCAAGCTGTCCACATAGGTAAATAAGAGAAGGAGCATTATGTGTTCAATACCAAGCACTCTACGAACCAAAACAAGTGCAGCATTTGGGACAATCAGAAGTTTAGTATGCAGCATAATGCACTTGTCCAGAAGTACATTATGTTTCATACTAAACCAATAAGCTAGATACCTGCTCCTGCCATCATGGCTATGCTTGCATGTCTGTGATGAAAGACTGTGTTTAGTCAATGGTCTGTAATTTCAAATCAATGATGGTTACTCATAAATACATTTATCATAAATTAAATTGTAGAAGATGTGTCACTACAATGTAGAATTTACAATATAGTTTAGAAATATATTAGAAATAAAGTGTCTGGAAAAACTATTTGGAGACAAAAAGTCAGTCCTGTTTCTATACGGCATATTTTAAACCTGAAGACAAGACATCTATTGATGTTTCCATGAAATCACATTCACCCTACATGACAAAAAATATTAAGTATAATCTTCTACACTTTGTGAAACTCTCTCCCACTGGCAGCATTCTCATATACAAAGGTGCTTATGAAAGGCTACTCTAAAATCATCAGTCACTATGTGTAAAATGAAGCAACACTGAAACCAAAATACTTCAAAAAGAGCTTTGGGCTACCACGGAACTTATAACCTTATTCGCTGAAAGAATAAATGCAACTTTTTCAGATTCCAGTTTGCCTCTTGAAGTTTTACTTGAAAAACCTTTACTCTTCACCTTAATTATCTTTAAAGAGGTTTAATGCTGATTAAATGCTGTACATTGATTAAATTCAAAAGTAATACTGAACAAAGGAAAGCAGGATGGAAACCTAAAAGGGCTTATGCTGAAGTAATGGTATCAAAATAATACTTTAAAAAAACTAAAATCTTATTTTTGTGTACATTATATTTGAAAACCTTTCCCAAATGTAAATGATCATTCTAATCTCTTGGAAAAAAAACCCCACAAAACCTCTAACAGTGCCATGAACTATTAAAAATTCTTTTGCACTCAGTGAGAAGGAAAAAGAACCAGTAATTCTGGCTTTGCTTGGCTCTACTGTTCCTATCGACTAAGACTGTATCAAATTTTCCAAAATTTCCAAGGTAGTGAAATGGTAAATTTACTGAACAGAGTCTCTGAAAATACTTAATTACAGCTAGTTAATTGATGCAAATCTCTATGCAGATTTGAGTCCGTAGATTATCTGATGTCTTTATATTTTTCAAGATTGGTCACAGTACATATTTTCACTCAATTTTTGTTGAATTCCTGAATCACACGAGAAACATACAAGGTACTATGTCTTATGACAAAAAATGCTGCTTAAAGCACACAGTGAGTGACACTGACTTCATGGATTTCTCAATTCACAAGCTTAAGTCTTTTACTTATGCACATTAAACATATGCGTAAGTATTTAACTGTATGAAGGAAATCTAAAGGAATAGTTAAGAAACTGGATGAAATTGAAAGATTGGAAAAATTAGTATTAAGGATGCAAAAGACAACTTCAATATATCCAG